AACATATATGTGTAATGTTTAATCTAATAGATTAATGTTTATATTGTTTTTATTAATTGATTTATATTCATTAGATATATAAAAATTAATAGAACGATACTGAAATTTAGAACGTAAAATTACGTCGGAACCTTTAAATACAGCAAAATCAGATTTGATAAGCTATTTAAACTAAGGCACATGATCATAAACAAATTTGACTTTTAACTAAGCAATGTTTGGCGTAATTAGAAACGTTTATACCTAAAACTTAAGGACATTATAATGGGATAAAAATGATTTAACCGATTTTTTTTAAAAAACTCACTGTAAATCAAGCATTAATTTGTTGTTTAAATAAGGGTGTAATTTGATTACAAGAAATCTTAAGGTAACACATAAGCAGACTATTTCAGTTATTCTTCCCATTTTGCCAAACTTGAATCTGTTAATGCTGATATTAACTAAGGTAAAGTCAGGAATAAATTTTTATTTCTCATTTAAATGTATATTAATATCAATACTATATCTTTCAAACATTACCCTTAATTCGTATTCCTTAATTGGATAATATGCTAGGGAAAGTAAAAGTCAAGTTGCTGTTAATCTCTCTCCAGTATTTAATTGCAATATATATTTCAGCTTACTGTTTCCTTTTCGAATAAACGAATAAGGATTAAAAACATCAGCCCTGCCAGATATTCATTATCGACTTACTCATGAAATGCAAATCAGAATATCTAAAAATAGAATAAATACTGTTGAAATAAATCATTACAATATGCTATAATGATCTTTCCCCGAAAGGTCACTTTGCAGAAGAATGAAAAATTTATTTCGGGAATCAAATTCCTGGATTTCTAAATTGGAAATAATGAGGCGTTCAGAGGTAAAATAATTAATAGGAGTAAAATATATTATTTTAAATAATAATGATTTGAAGTCTATTCCTAATTGGATAGCAGCAAAACAGCATCACCCTTGTTTACGAAACAGATCCTTTACAATTTATTGCAAGAAGAAGATTGTCGCACATCACAATTGATTAAAGTATTCTTCAGTAATTATGGAACAAATATTTCTTAAATATTTATTTAATCGCCAGCGTTTTCAGCTGAAGACATAACCACGAAAATAGCATAACCTTTATTTTTAGTTTCCTTTTATTAATATTTCCAAAATGCTCATTAAAATTTAAAACTTTATTTTAGAGTTGCTTCATAATTAATGATGTTTTGGTTCTTGATAATTATTCGAATAGATTTATTTCTGTCGGAAGTTATTGAAATTGCTCTCTTTTTCATTGAACTTCTTCCAATTATACTATCTACATATGCAAAATTTTACTGCAAATAACAAATAATTTTTGGTTAGAATCAAAGTTTAGAAATACGTTTTCTCTCTGAACTTCCTTTATCTTCTAAATTTATCAACTGTTGTTGTTAATTTAAATTATTGATTGAGAGAGAATTTTAATATACACATGAGTTCAAAGCATTTTTAAGATTAAAAGCATAAACAAACGATATACGCCGAATGATTCAATTATTTGCCTCTTAATTCAAAGTACCAACATCTTCGCGATGTCTACAAATAATCAGTGTTTTTTTCCAATAAAAAAATAACAGAATAGCGTTGAAAGAAACCATCATACAATTTCTTTTTTAAAAGTTTATTTTGCTTTGGTGAGAAGAAAAATTATTTATCTCTCTCGAGTTGCTTCTAGGAAAAAATGCAAATAAACAACAAATAAAGAAAGATACAAAGTCTTATTTTCCTAACAGCGGTTTGGTCTGACTCCCAAAAGTATATAAAAAATACTGGTTAACATTCAGTATTCGGAGATACTAAAGCTTTTTTGTATATAAAGTATTTATAACATGTACAATGTTGCTGGAAATGAGAAACTTTGTATTATTAAGTTATTTATTTATTTTTTCATTTTTGCTCTTTCATTGAACTGTTTTTATTCATGTGAAGATGGTTACATTGTTTTCATTTAAATGAATTATTTTTTATTTATTAATCTTTTTTGTAAATTAGACTACAAATTAAAGTTTCTTTCAGTTCATTTTCTTAATGTGTAATAAAGTATATAAAAGGATCTTATTGAACATAAATGTGGTAGAAATAGACTCCTCTTTCTCTACTCAGTGTTTCTTTTTGTTTAATAACTTATATAATAAGTTTGTATTATAAGTATTATTTGTTTTTAGATATAAGAGTATTTCCTGTTTTAAGAGTAATTCTCAGCTGACATCATGAATATATTATAAATTCATTTCAGATGCTGTAAAAATAGCTTATATAACATTAATTAAAATGTAAGTATCTATAAGTGTAATGGAGATTCATTCAAAAGATTATTTAAGACTGACTTCTACATATAAATTGCATCAAATTGTGTGTGGTTGGAAACTTATTATTTTCATCTATAACTCTTTAATAAATGTATTTTAACATAATTAGATAAAAATTCTTCATACAATTTAATTGCTTTAAAAGGGCTCATCGTAGTTGGTCTATCAATAAATTTATTGTTTGATTGATATACACAATCTTTCTCTCTCTCTCTATATATATATAGGGTGTTTTTTTAGAGGTATAGAACTTTAAATTGCAATAAAACAACGATGTATTATTCGATTGACATGAGTCGCGAGTTCGAGCCCAGTACCACTAAAGACCCGCCGTGTAGGGCAGCGATGCACGTTAAATCTGTCGAGAGCTGAAACGTCCTCCCGTTGGTGTGGTGTGGTAGTTAGGAGAGGGGGGGTGCCAGCTCAGGTGTCGTCCACGTCACTTGACCATGGTTCAAAATTACGTGGTCCGTCGCCAAAAGCCCTCGTGTAGCTGAACAGTGCGACGTTAATATTCAATCAATCAATCAATCGATTGACATGAATTTTTTTTATTCGAAAGATAATCTTGTGGCATTACATTTTAAATATGATTTCTGGCATAGGACTGCCACGGCTGGCTCGGATGGAGTCCAATCTGGACGTCCAATTTTCGATGACTTTTTCCAACATTTGTGGCCGTATATCGGCAATAACACGGCGAATGTTGTCTTCCAAATGGTCAAGCGTTTGTGGCTTATCCGCATAGACCAATGACTTTACATAGACCCACATAAAATAGTCTAGCGGTGTTAAATCACAAAATCTTGGAGGCCAATTCACAGGTCCAAAACGTGAAATTAGGCGGTCACCAAACGTGTCTTTCAATAAATCGATTGTGGCACGAGCTGTGTGACATGTTGCGCCGTCTTGTTGGAACCACAGCTCCTGGACATCATGATTGTTCAATTCAGGAATGAAAAAGTTAGTAATCATGGCTCTATACCGATCACCATTGACTGTAACGTTGTGGCCTTCATCGTTTTTGAAGAAGGATTCCACCAGCCCATAAAGCGCACCAAACAGTCAGTTTTTCTGGATGTAACGGTGTTTCGACATACACTTGTGGATTAGCTTCACTCCAAATGCGGCAGTTTTGTTTGTTGACGTAGCCATTCAACCAGAAGTGCGCTTCATCGCTAAACAAAATTCGCTTATGAAAATCGACCATTATTTTCGAAATAAAATTGCACAATTTAAAAGCGTTGCTCAGGCGTGAGTCTATTCATGATGAATTGCCAAACCAAACTGAGAATAAATCCCTTGATAGCTGTTAAATCGGTCGCCATCTTGGAAAGTAATGCCAACTTAAACTTCTATACCTGGAAAAAAACACTCTGTATATAGTATGTAAATTTACGGAATCAAGTAATTCCTGTTTATATTCCATGGAATCTTAGAAGCTTTTCTTTAACTAAATTTTAAATTATAAGACCTATCTCACAAAACTGTACTTTATTTAATATCTGGTAATTGTAGTCATTTAAATGCAATATGAATAGTTCAACTTTTAATAAAGACAGCAAAGAGGCAAAAACTACTACTCACAAAAAATATATAGAAATTTTACTTTCTGAAGGGGAACTCTTCTGCAGCACAATAAGAAACAAGAATGAAGTTTCATAAAATGAATGGTTTTAATAATAGTACGTATTTCAAATTTATCGATTTATTTAGTTATAATACATATAAGGAAGAAAGAGGTGGAAAACTCGTATGCGTTTTACTGTTATTTACAAATAATAATTAATCCAACAAGTTATTACACATTGGTAGTAAATTTCATTATAATTAATTTTTTAAAAAAAACTTACAAAAATTACTACAATGGTTAAAATATAGCGACACACAGTAATTTAAATCACGTTAATTAAAGCGATGAATTCTTTTAAGGAACGCGCACACAATTGCATCATATGTGGTAAAAAAATGTGCAAACCAAGTATTGCTGTTATTTATTATGAAAAAAAATTAAGAAAGACAGCGGAAAATTTTAAGAGCATTCTATGATAAACTTATTATTTAATGTAAAGTATATTTTAAGTACATAATATATTATAAAATACAGGTCTAATTTCACTATGGAAGTGTTGTACTTATGAGTTCACTTATATTTTCAATATTTCTTAAGACACGAGACACTGGTTTAACCCAAAATCTCTGTTTCCAAAAATGGCGTTATCAAATGAGCTTCATTTAAATCGTTAAGTTTGTGACAACTCGCTATTTTCTGCTAATAAATATTTAGGGAAAATGAGTCTCATACCTTTTAACATCGAACGATTGTCTACCATTAAAAACAAATGCGAAGTATGTACTTCATTTAAACAAGTATTATAAAGAAATGTAAGTCATTTCCTATTTAGATCAACAAAGAAAAATTTTATTTTAGTTTCTTTTTATTAAATAGTCACAATTAATATAAATATGTATATACATATGACAGAATTGCAATATTAAGTGAAAAAATAGAAAACGATTTTCCTTGCAATTTTCCATTTTTCTTCCTCTATATAGTATTGGACTATTTTTCTTGTTTGTTACTATTTATTCATTAGTTAAATTTAATTATTCAAATAAAATAATATAGTAAAAAAGAAATCACATTATCAGAAATTAGGTCATCCCAAGTGGGATTCGAATCCATAACCTTTGAATTAGAAGTTCAAAGCGCTATGTCCATTGCGCTATAGGGACACAACGAGCGATTTTCCTTTTTATATATGTTGTTGGACTATTATTTTTGTTTGTTAATATTTATCAATTTTTTAATTTCATTAATGAAGTAATATTTGAGAAAACTGTATTAACATCAAGTGTCATCCTCTACAAGTTTAAAAAATGTATTTGAACTTGAATGGATGATTAGAAAGCATTTTATTAACGATTGAAAATTTGAACGAGATATATATAGGGAGAGTGTGAACTAATAGTAGGAGTTGAAAAAATACTACCCTGACTGTTCAATTTTCTTCGTTAAAAAAATTTACCTTCAGTGTTTGTTCCTTTTCATTTTAAGAAATAATCTCGACTATTCGTCTTACTCGCACGAAAATCAGACAATAGACGATTTATAAAAACAAATCTCTTCTATGAAAATAAATACGCTAAAACTAAATATTAAAATAAAGCAAATATATATCAGGGTGTAGCTCTACTTCGATATAAGAACAGCATGAACACGTTTTTGTTCTTGACCAAGATAGTAAGAAAACTAGTCTTAGCTTCATAGTATTGCTCGCAACCGTGAAAAATATTGTTTACTATTATTTTTACCTCTAATATGGAGAAGAAAATCTGATAGATCACAAGGCCGAAAGTTTTCCCTCCTTTGATACCGCATTGACCTCTCAAAATCTTGGGGCAAAGCGAAGGAGAATAAAAGTCCATATTTCTTCACTCATTTTTTATTAAGGTGTTGAGAAATGCGTGAGAATTCATGACATGGTTACGCTTCATTTAAAAAGAAAGGACAATATAGGTCAAGGAAGCAAGATATTTCGATATTTTTTTAGCTTTTTTGAAACATTTATCAACTTATTTTTATTTTCTCCTTTACTCTTCAATGAGATTTTCTTAAATTTAAAAATAAAGTGTTTCTTTGTGGATGATTTATTTAATGTAGTGTGATAGAAAAATGCAAGAAGAAACTAGTGAAATTAGTGAAATAAAAGTTGAATCTTATAAAATTAGAAAATAAGAAACAGAGCGAAAGATAAAAAGGAGATAATAGATAAAATGTGTGTTGCTTTACTACATATCTTACTAATATTGAAATAATCTATCTAGAAAAAATAATTTATGTGTGTGTGGTTTTCGAAATACTGCTACTACATTAATAATGGAAAGATATATTGATATCTGACACGAATCAAACAAATTGAATAGAATAGCGATAAAAGATCTTAGGATTGAATATTTAATGAATTTATTTGAAGTCTTAAGTTGCTGCTGATAAAATCTTACGTACTTTCGAGAATCTATGTTTTATATCAAAGGAGAGGTTCAGGAATAAATAAAAAGAATATCCTTTGAAATATCCTTTTCCTAAGTATTTTATCCCTCATTTCCTTAATTATGATCTAGTACTATTAAAAAAGTTCAAAGACATCTTTCACATTTATATAAAAAAAACCAAGATAAATTTAAAAATCGTAACCTTTTAGTCGCAGAATTGCGAATTTGATGCTCTGTAATACTAGAACATATAGTGCGCGATAATGGAGGATGGTATTGAAAATTAAATAAAAAAAGTCTTAAAAATGTTTTGCAGAGCGTAAGTTTAGTTAGTAACATACCTGTCTGAGAATCATTCTTTTTCTTTAATCACGAATCATGATTACAATCGCAAATAGCTTGCTGCGCATGACTGATTGATTGTTTTATTATTATTGCGCTTCGAAGTTACATGAGATTTATAAACGACAGACCTCGTAATTTTGGACCACAGTCAATCGACGAGGATGACACCGGAGCTGCATCCTAGGTCCCTAACTATCACATTACGCCAATGTGAGGATTTCAAGCCTCTACAAATTTATCGTACATCACTCCCTCAACAGGGTGAGATTTCAGTGGCTCCAGAATCGAAGTCAGTTCCTGTCAAATCGAATCCACAACTGTACAGAAACAACACCGATCACGAATTCATGACCACGACCACACTGATGTCGTGGTCATATCTTGATGTGAAACTCTTATCGTGTATACTGATTAACTTTATCATAATTAAACCATATTTCCCTAATCCAAAACATTACCCTTGGAATCAATATCTCGCAATCATAATAACTCAAGTACAAAATAAAGTTTTTCATCACTGCTTAAATTAAGATCACAATACGATGGTTATAAATAAAATCCTCGTCACTTGGTGCTGGAGTTCTGAGTTACTTGCAAAGAAGACAAATAAATGAGTTTTATCTAATCAGCATATACAGTATACAATTTAAGCCTAAAGTGAAATTCCATATTATATGTTAGAGAAAGGATTTTTTTCTGATAGGCTGCATATTAGCAACAAAGCCTTTGCAGACACTGCAAGTCCCCAAATGTGAGAGCCATTTCTGTGGTGGCATCATCTAGTGGCGGCTCTCGCTACCAAATTTGGGCGCCTATATTAATTCAAGATCTCATTAGATGCCAAATAGCATCGTGATTTAATTTTGCTCAGAGCACCAGAGCCAAACTAATACTCACGGGATCTTTAACAAGCCACATAATTATATGACATGTGTGCCTACGATTTTCGCATCCAGAAAATCTATAGACTCCAGCCGGAATCGAACCCACAACCTCAGGCTTCGAAGTGGATACGCTACCTGAATATTCGAGGAGTTTTCCGCCTGTGGTATTAATTCACGCACCGTTCAAAAATACTAAAAAGTTCAGTACTATAGAAATACTTTAAATGTTACTGAACTTGTCCATAAAAATCTTGTAAAGATGATATTCCACAAATTTTAAAGCTTTGGTTTATGACGAAGAAAATTTGCATTCAAATATGTCTGCATAGTAAGTAGAAAACTGTTATTAAAGTATAAAATAGAATTCCAAGCTGTGTTAGATTTGCTTGTGAATTGTTTCTTTGTCCAAAAAAATTTAGTTTGAAACGAGTAGGACAGCAAAATATTTAATTTAGATATTCGCTGAAGATTGAATCGGCGATAATTTTCCGAAAATCAAATCCCCTATTTTTCACAGAAACGAATCTTCTATTTAAATTTTAGTTTTCCTATAGTGATAGAGGCATCACAAAAGCCTTCCTTTTTAAGCGAAGAAAACGACGAAACAAAGCGATAAATTTGGATACAAAAATAACTTTGTTTCTTTTTTTTAGATTATTAGATGTTCCATAAAATATTCGGGACTCTACCAGTAAAAAAAACCCAAAGGAATGCAACTCGATTTCATACGTAAACAATTTTTTTTGAGGTACTGCAGTTTATTTTTAACTTAACACGCTTAAAAACATTTCACTGCATTTAAAATATAATTAATGGTTATTTTTTGTTTCAATTCATTCCGTTGGAATGAAACTTACTATTTATAAATTTAAAACGAATTATTTTATTCTTTCATCTAAACTGAACTTAAAAGTGTTGCTTTCCCTACATTTCTTTCTTTTTCTATTAAGACTTTAAGATAGATTAACAGGAAATAGATTACAGTTTTATTTTATTGCTTCTTCTACGTTGAACTTAAGAAAGTTTTTTTTACCAGATTCATTTTCAGAGAGAAGTAACACTATTTTTCAATGTTTTCTCACGGAAAACTCAGATTCAATTAGATTTATATTTGTTCAGATTTTCTATAAAGAATGCAAACACGTAATCAATTAAAAAGTAATTAATGTAAAACTATGGTGATCTATAAATATATAAAACGATATAGGATTTAGGTCATGATGTAACATACCTTTCATACATTTTTATATAAAAGTTGGCGCTTATTTTACTTCTGTTATAAAATTTATTTATTAATTTGACACAATAATAATTTAGGTATTTCCACCTCTTTAAAAAAGATAAAATTACATAATTATTTTAAAACTAATTTTTTTAGGATAAACTCTAATCAGCGATTGCTTTAGGCGCTGGAGTTAGTAAATGTTTTCAACACACACACACATCAGATTCACAGAGATCACACCTGAACTGATATCACACTACCCAACTTTTCGTGTTAAGCTAAGTGAGAAAGTTTTTATTTTTACGATAGAGAAACAAAGAAAAAGCATTGAGATCCAATGCTTATTATCATTAATATGAATTGTGTTGGGTATAACTCCCTTATTTACTTTTTGAAAATCTTGATTTATTTATTTTATAATAAAAATAATTAAATAAAATTAATATTAAATAAAATTATTTTATTTAATTATTTAATGAAATATAAGAGAAATTTTTTTTTATAATTCTATCCAGACATATACAGTTTCTATTTCAAAATGTTTCATCATACACCTTTGGAAGTTCTTAAGTAAAGAATGCACCATATTCCTTTTCCATGTTTCCTCTTCCCTTTTTTCAATGTTATAAGATTAAACCAAACCTTATCCTTCTAAAGTTGTGTCAAACATTTTCTGCCTACATGCTAAGCAAATAAGAAAAGTATAGAGAGCCAATATTTTCTTCTTGTAGGAATCATTTCAGGTTTTTACTCATTTTTTTCGGAAACGAATCCAAGATTTCACGGTGACTTACGTAGCGAGTATCCGATGGCTTGAAGTGGGAGTAACAAACTGATCTTGAAAAGATGCTCGTTTCTTGCATGGCAATGACCATAAAAAGGAGTCACCTCATTTTAGATCCAACACTCGTAAATCTTTCCGGAAGACGCAAGAAGTGACCTCAAACTTACTCATTTTAAACCAGAGAAAGCTTGGAGTGGCTTATGCACTTTTAAATTTACAACTCAAGAAGTGAATAACCTCTTAACTTTCGTCATCATGTCACCATTCGACGTTGACTGATGACGATTAATGTCGAGAATTATTAATTGTAGTGAAATTGCTTTAAATCTGGAGTGCATTTTTAAGATACTTTGCTTATACAGCTTGAATAATTGTTACTTCAATGTTAAAGAGCCCAAAGGAGTTTTTACTATAGCATTTTATTTATTTTTGATGTAAAATGTTTATAATATACTCAACATATTACTTATTCTCACAAAATAACTTACATTACTTATCCTCA